TAATAAAATCGTTTAAGATTTTATAAATCAAAGAAATCTTAAAAATCATCATTATCAACTGCTATTCCATTACTCTCGTACAAAGCGTTCGAATCACATCCATTACGCCATTTAAAAGTAATCGGTCCGTTTCAAATCACCTCTTTCTTTCCAACCAAACCTGCAATTCACTCTCTCGTTTATATCCATCTCGCAATTCGATCTCACGCTTCGTTACCACCGTTCAACACGAGCACCAAGATTCGCACCAAGACTTGAATCTAGTTAAAAGAAGAAGAAGAAGAAGAAAAAGAAGAGGAAAGAGATGGATGGAAACATATCATACAAGCTGGAACCGTATCGCAATTATCACAATCCTATCACGTGCTTAGCATCGTTACAACCATCCTCTCCTCCCATCGAGCCTCGTCGTCTCTCCTCTGTTCGAGAGAGGAAGACATTTTTATCACGAGAGTGTGCCTTCTCCTCTCGAATCCCTAGATGCACCGCGCTCCGGAACCTTTCATTTCTTTACACGTGGAACGAGTATAACTGTATCGGAATCTCCAAGAGGCCCACCTACGTTCACCTTCTGCATGATCCACGTATGTTGAATGTACTTCTCTGTTCAAAAAGTTAATCGAATCTTTTTTCTTTTCCTTGCTTGGCAAGGAATGCACTCTTATCTATGAACAGATTAAAGTCTAAGATAGATTTATTAATATCCATATTAATATTTCTTTCATTTTTCTTGGAAAATATCTTTTATTTATATTATATTTATTATTTATATTATTATTTATATTATATTTATTATTTATATTATTATTTATATTATATTTATTATTTATATTTATTTATATTATATTATATATTTTATATATATATTGATAATTTGAAAGAACAGTGAAATTTTTCTTCAAACTTGAGAAAACTAAATTAATGATTGACACGTTAAAACAAGTGTGTGAAAAGAATGTTTTGAAGGCAGCGTTTTGAATCATTTACAAATGGATGAAAAGACGACGTATGGATATTGAAACCGTAAAAAAAACGATCAGAGTTTTGAACAGAGTTTCACAAGAAGGTTTCCAACATTTCTCTGAGCAATGGAAATTTTACTGGAACAAAAAAAGTATATATTCAGTAAAGAGACTAAAAATATTATTAATTTGAAAAAAGTTGATGTATTAACTTTTTAAACAGAGTAATATTCTTTCTTCCAAATCTTGTTTCCCAGATTTTGAAATTGAAGCCATTCTTTGAAGTTTGAAATTTTTAGAAAAGAGAAAAAGTTGTACAAAATTTTAAAAAAATATATAAAAATTTCAATTGTTAAATGAGTAAAATGATATGAATTGGTTAATTAAACATTTGGCATACCTTTATGCTATTTGTGTATTTCTACTTATTTCAATTTTCCAAGCTGGGTTGAGAAATATGCCCTAAAGAATTAAACGCGAATATGCGTTCAAGGAAATGTATCTTTAGTCAAGTCTCAAGGCTTTTTCTCTTTTCATGCTATTTTCGTTCGGTTGCTGTTGACACATGGAATCGATATGCTTAAAAAAATTGTTTAAAAAAGATTGGTAATGATAATTATTATAATATTTAATAATTAGGAATGAAAATTTAAATTCGAAACTTAACGAGGTTACTTCTTTTGTTTCTTTTTGTGCAAAGCGATCTGTGCAAAACGATACAAGTGTCATAATAATCGTTTTCATACGAATCGCATAATTACCACTTTGATCATAATTTTTACATTGACACATTCGATTTGTTTGAATGAATATATGTGCTTCATGACAATTCAAGATAGAAATCGCAAAATTATAGATTTTTCTTCATCCCTCTTCTGCTTTCCTTGTTACTGGTGTCTTTAAAATAGCAATAATGATTCACTCTTTTTATCTTTTTATACCTGAAACAAAATTTTCTACACAGAAGAAAAACATACGATATTAAAAAAAAATTTAACATATTCTCATTGTCAATACCTTAATCCATATCCGCATCGAGTTATCTAAAATGAAATAAAATAAGAACATTAAAAAAAACCAAGATATGATCTCCAAGAATAATGAATTTTAAAAATAGATTTTTTAAATCTCACGTTTGCAACTGCTTTTGTTTCGAGGAATATAATCGATTTTATCGCACGCTATCAAAGAAAGATCGATAAACATCGACTTGAAACGACGACAAAACAACTTCCTGTCAATTTCTGCTCCACCCACTCTACAAGGATTTTATCTGCCTTAGGCATGTTTGTTGCAGGAAGCTGTGAACACATTAAAAAACATTACTATATTAATCATGCAGATTATTTACGAGATTAATTTTTTCACTCTAATGAAATGAAACTGGATTAAATATTTCAAACTTGTTACTCAGAATTTTTTCAACTTTTTTTTTAAACTATTCTTATTCAAATCTTTCCTAGAATTAAAACAATTATATATATAAAACGTATTGAATTTAATATCTTATCACTGTATATCAATGATATTGTGTAACGTAGAAATTTTTGCTGTAATTTTTTTTTTTACTGAAAAGCCGCATATGTGTCAATGCGATCCTGTGGTTTATATTTCAATTGGAAACATTTCAAAAAACGTATCGCAGAAATAATGGAAACCTTGATTACGATATTAAATTATAATTAATCGTACACGAAATATATTTGGATTAAATTAATTCATTTACATATATTCCATTCTTCTCTGATATTATGCGAAATAACACTCGAGTTTTCACGAAACGTTTTATCGAACGTTTAATTTCTCATTTAAACCGACAATAGGAAATTAAAGAGTAAACAGTGCAAAATTATCCCATATTGCGCGTGTACCACAGATCTGACCCCCTTTCATTGTCAGTCTTTTCTTCGGGTTCACTGGCGTGTGTCGATTCACGCGGCATGCACGTTCCTAGTTCTGACGTTTTCGATGCACTTGACGCATACCGTATTACAATCCTGTTTCATTATTACATTATCAACTCATTACTATTCTCAGAATCTGTAAAACAATTAAAAGAATAAATTTTTTTCTTATCTATATTTGTATAAAATAATTACGTATTAATGGTTATTCTACTTATAGTATAACATTATAATTTAAGTATTGTAAGTGATGTAATTTAAATATTTAATAATAATGCAGATTAAGAATGTGAATCTTTTTTTTTTGTGACTTTTTTTTCTTACCGCCAGAAATAATTAGTATAGATAATCTTGAATTTTTGTTTACTATACACATTTTAATATACAATTTAACATTAATGAAGATTCTAACTTAGAATTGAATTGAATATTTATTATAAATTAAAATATAATCAAAGAATTCTAATACAATCAGTTTAATTCAAGATAATAATGCATTGAAAATTTTTATGATATCTTTTTCTTATCATTAGATGAAATAATTAATATTAATAATCTTGAATTTTTCCTTTAATGCAATATTAGATTAAAATTATTTTGAATTGTGTATTTTTCTTTTTGTTCGACAATTAATTTTATGATATAGTATATATAGTATATACTATATAGATATAGTATCATATAGAATCATACCGATTCGTATTCTTTAAAAAACAAATTAGCATCGTTCGTAATTAGTTAAATAAGATAATCCGATTGATCTGAAATTGAGGTTAGATTTTTACCATTGCGATCAGAGTGATCTATACCTATGGAACAATCATAATCTCGATTTCTAAGAAATTGCAATTTCATATTTGTCATGAACATTTTCGAAAATTGTTACGATAAAAGAATAAAACTATCATTTTAATTTTAATTTTTTTTCTCGTAACACAATTATTATTTTAATCCTTTCTAATTTTTTTACACCAAAGGATCGATTAACTTATGTTTATCATTAATATTGGAGTTTTGAAGAAAGAGTTACGTGTGATAAGAAATTGATGAACAAACATCAAAAGCAAATGAACATCAGAGACAAGAGTGCGCATATATCGTTATACAAAGTGGTGTAACCCCGTAGAAAAGCTTGAAAGCGGACCAGATGCCTGCTGTGCAAAGGCCCGTGATAGGTATACTCGGTTCCTTGTGCAATCAACAATGAACGAGTGCAAACGGTTGCAATATAACGTAGTACGAGGGACACGTGCAAACACCTTTCCTTACCCTTGGAAGAAGGAAGCCTCTGAACAAGATCGAGAATTATTGCGACCACTTTCCATCCAATATATAACGCAGATACGTGGTGACAGGTAAAATTCTAGAAATTTAAATAATATTTAATTTATGAAATATTTTATAACTTATATCGAATCATAATTAAATTTGTATGAATATCATGAAAAAAAAAATAAATTGTGATTAAATTTATGTAGATTAAAACAATTTGACTTATCTTTATCACATATTGTCAATATAAATTTTGTTTTATTATTTTGTAATAAATATATATGGTATATTGTAAAAGAGAACAAATTCAGGTCTCTGAGTGTGTTAAACTCGTTTGTAAAGATGTATCTTAAAAGATCTCGTTCTCTTTACGTAAAGAATTACATAACTTTTATTCTCTGCAAAATACATAACGAAACCACCCAAGACGGATCAATTTTTAATTTTCCGTTCAAATAAATTCATAAATGAGTCATGATGTTATCGATTCTATATATTTTCGATTCGATACATGAGATATACTTAGAAAAAAAATACATTTTCTGATATCTTTCTGAAATAAATATTAAAAATGGATAATTATTCTTAATTTGACAAGTATTACATAACCTATATCGAATATATTTGTAAAATCTCATTAGCAAAATTGATACATAAATTACACAAATATAATGTGAATATATTTGATAAATTATGTAAATATTTCAAATAAGATATTTTATTTAGATTTTTTTATAAATTCTGGATTAAGAAAAGTAAAGAAACGCATAATAAGTATATTAAAAAAATGTAACCAATATATATAAAAATGTATATCATTAAGTCTTGATTTGCTTATAATCTTAAAATATAGATATTTTTGATTGAATTATATTTATCGACATAAAATACTTAGCTTCTTTTCTCTCTTTTTTTTCCTGAAATCCAAAAGAAAATAATTAGAATCAGGATTAAAAATTAATTCAGTCGAAGAATAATTGATTCGAATAACAAAATAATTAAAAATATGTATAAACTTACAATATAATATAAATCTCGGATTTTTCTTATCTTAATACAATTAAATATAAAACACTATAAAACATTATAAATGCAGCCGGAACAAGACCCTCATTAAAAGAGAATAAAAAAGAAGGGATATACATGGCACAAAGCTAGATTTCGTAATTTCTTGGTTACACATTACACTTGCACGACAATTCCGTGATTCACGCATGGTTATGCACGCGTAACGGTAGTGATAAATTATTATTCAACATCTATAGGATCTTTTGTCATCCTTTGAGATTGATTTGAATGAATGCATAAGGATCTGTTTAGTTCCTCCATAGAATAACAATTGATCCTTATCATTAATAACATATAGTCAATTCAGAAGTAACTTCTATTCAGTACCATATATAAATAAATATCAAATTTATGCATATTATGAAACGTCATTATTTCGATTATTGCAATATTTTTATTCCAAATATTTTAGATATATGTAATATTCAAGATCTATTAGGAAATTTAATAGATAAAGCGAAATTCTGAAAGAATATTTCATAAGATTAATCAAATCACAAATCTTTCTGTTGTTCTTTTATTTTGCTCACAGTAAATCGTTTACTTTTTTCGGTTTATTTGAGACTGGAATTCGAAGGTGACAAGGACCAACGCCCACATACTTCAAGTATCATTCCGATCATCGATCATAATGAATTAACAATTCTGATGCAAGAGATTTGTGCTTCTCTTTTGCTATAGATATCAAACATTCATGTTCAGAAAGTATGATGTTCTATTATCGTTCAGTATCCTAGCGGTCTCGTTCTTGGATAACGAGAGTGTAAAAATCAGCTTATCGTAAGGTAAATTTTTAGAATGATCGTGATATATATGTGATTTTAAAAAACGGCTCACATGCGAGATTGAACATAAAATTTGATTACTGATCGGAATGCAAATATTATCAATATCAGAGAAAAGGTGAACGTAGCCTTTCTCTTCGCTTTAATTTTAAACACTGGCTAAGTAACTGTTTGTATATGTAATTTAACAAGTGTTTTCCAATGTAAATTTTTAATTAAAAGTTTTTAAAAATAAATCGATTGAAAATGTAAAAACCTTGAAAAGTTTCTAAAATTCATTTTATTCTTTTGTTACCCTTCTTTCAATCATTGAATAGATATTTATTATATTAGTATAATAAAAATTAAAAATTTTTTTTATATTTCTTTTAATATATTTTTCATTGAAATAAATTAGACAATAATTTCCATACAATTTTTGTATATAATTTTTCCCCAAATTTTACATATCTCAAACGATCTGAAAACAACAAAATCAAAATTAGAATAATGATATTTATCAAATAATTAAATTGAAATAAAAATAAGGGAACAGACATAAACAAATGCAATTATTATTGAAAATAAACGTCAGATTCTCGATGCAAAAAGGGTTAAGCCATTATTCGAACAAAATATCGTCGTATCTGAGTGCGTCTGGCCATGAGAACCACACCCGTGATACTTGAATACCCGTGGTGCTAAGATAAAGTTCTCTTAACCATGTACTATACTCTATACCGCCGGAACACAATAGCGTTTATCGTCATTTCACCATTTACAATACGTTGGTCCTGTGACAACGCGAAATATTCGTCGTTTTTGCAGATCATGTTCGTTGCTTGTACACAAAGGGACGATTTTTCTTAAAATGATCACTATGAATCGATGTTCCTAAAACATTGTCATCAGGGCGCATAAATTTTCTTTACGACACTTTACGCGTAAATTCACAATAACTTTAAGTTAGAAATGTCACCAACGACCACACCTCGAATGACATTTGGTTCGATTCCTCGAAGAAATTTTTGCTTAATAAATGTTTATATGTATTAAAATCGATTTGCTTAAATCGATTTACTTAATCGTGAACAATATTGCGCATATGCCTATGTAAATAAATTCGATTTCTTCATTCAGTTTTAGTTTCAATAAAATAAATTAGATATTTAGCTAAATATAACAATACGTCGCGATATTAGGGACCATTGTAAAACCAAAGTGATAGCAGTTGGCCTTCGCTTATGGGGGAGTGATCAACTTTTCTTAAAGTGGGTGTAGGATGTATATAATTGATTGTAGAGACATATTTACTGCTCTTGCAAAAGCGCCACGACGTGTACTAATTGTATTACAATTTGAACCCGATATACTATGCCGCTCACAACCTTAACCATAATGTTATGGCAATCCTAGAAAAAAAAAACAGAATTATAATTTGTTTTTTATTATATGCAGAATAAATGTATTTTAAAAAATATCTTTGCTTATTTAATGATATATATATTTTTACTATTGATTTTATTTTCTCTATTTTATAATACAACAAAAAATTTTATTAAATACTTTATTAAATAATTAATTAATTATATAAATATTTTATTATTAAATTAAATATCAATTATTGGATTTTTTAATTTGAAAAAAACTTGGAAATAATAATTTGAATTTTTTAATTTTTTGTGTTTATGATGTTCGAAAAAATTTTACATAAAATTTTATATAACATATTTTATTTAATTGAACGTTTGTCATCGTAATTATTAATTATTAAATAGAAAAAATAAACATTTCGTAAATCTATCAGGTTTTCTTACATTATAATTCAAAAAATTAATCGAATACGTTTCCTTATAATATTTTAGGCGCAAAAATGTTACATCCTATTTAGTTCTAAGTTATAATATATTCAAAGATATGTGTGAAGTTGTCCTTTTAAAAGTTTAAATATTACATTCTATTTTAATAAATTCAATACTTCTTCCAATACTGAATATATAAATTAATATTGAACAATCTTTAAACCAATCAATCAAATCACTTGAGAAAGTAAAACTTTACAAGGACAACTTAATACTGATTCATACATAATTTTTATTAAGATAATAGATATTTTCAAGAGAAAATCGTGTGTATAAAAATTCTAATCGATTTTTAACGTCATTTTTTTTATAAACGATAATCATTATAAATTTATATTTACACTAACTATCGAATTTAAACTAAAGCTTATTATGATTAACGTATTCTATCGCAATAGTAATTATAAAACGCTTCCTAAAAATAATATATAATTTTAATTTTTTTTAAATTTTTTCTAGTTTCTGAAAGAATGCATTTGTGCTTTGTTTCGAAAAATCTTAATTACTAAAATTGAAAAATATGACAAAAGCATTCTCTCTTTGGCTTAATGATGCCCAAAGAAGGTACATATATGAAATTGAATTATAAAAATTACAATTTTTATACAATTCTTATACTCTTAAAATTCTATATATTCTAATGTATATATATTTATATATGGAACACAATTTCTAAATTATTTGATAAAATATATATAATTAATTTTTTATTTGTAGATTATTTCAAAATTATTTATCGAATTAGTTTCCATGATCATACAAAGTTTTATAAATGAAATAAAATATAAAATTTTGATTATTGCTATATTTAGCCTATTTATTATTTCTAAACATATGACTGAAATTTATATACAGTATCTTAAATTATTAATACACATATAAAGAAATTTTATTGTCAATACATGCATAAATTGTCTTTATATATTCATAGAGGTTCAAGAGATAATTTATAATTTAAAATGAAAATGTTTAATTTTTAATTATAATTTTATTTTCTATTCTTAAAGAAAATGAATAAATGAAATGTTAAATGAAAAGTTAAATATACTATAATCAAAATATTATCATATTAATTGAGAACAGTTAAAAATATAAGAACAGTATATTTTTTAATTATATCACAAAATATAATATTATTTAATATTATTATTATCTCTTCGTTTTAAACAAAAGAATAAAGATATCTAATTTTATTTAATTATAACTATATGATCAATTTAAGCGTAATAATAATAATATTTATAAAAAACCAATAAAACTAAATAAAAAATATTTAACGAAAATTTATAGATCAAAATATCAAATAATATTTTTGTTTTTTGATAACAGAAAGAATACTGTAAAACAAAAATTTTGAAATTAAGTATCATCGCTATCACTTTCTTGCTGTTCTCGAGATTCTTCCTCCATTGAAGGAACAGTGTCCATATTTCTATCAAAATAATGAGGATTCCAAGCTGGCAACCATCTATTTACGAACCACCAATGCACGGATAATCTACTATGATTACATTCTGCTCTTTCACATCTACCAAGAAATTGACAAATACCAGTAACGCTTCCACTCTGATTTCTGATACAAGAATCGTCGCATGTATGTTGACGTTCTGTTGAACGGTTAGCAGAACAAACGGAAGGGTGTAAAGTTGAAGAATTGTGCGATGAAAAGATTGATCTAATATTTGATGATGTACTAGGTTCATTGATTGTAGATGCAGGTACTGACATATTTGATGTCGAAGCGCCAGGATCTGCGCTGTTGGATGAATTTCCTGCACTACTTGTACTTCCAAGAGCTGAAACACAAGGTCTACCAATATGAACCGTTGCATAAAGTGGATTATTAACTGATGGACTGCCTCTACTTATCCAATCAAGATATTTGCTAAATTGAGCGGCAGAATTAGAATTAGATAAAACTTTTGATCTGCAAGTACAATTATTTGGATTTTTACAATGGCATTCCATTCTTAAAGATTCGGTAGGTCGACAAGACGTAACAGGCAGTTTTATATAAGAATATTCACCACGACAAAAAGGGCATCTACAATTTCTTGGTAATTGATATATATAATGTCTAGAATTACTTGCAAATCCATCTTGATAACGTAATCTGTTATGCAAGTTATGGCAATGATGACATAAATATCTCGTATCTATATGTCTACAAAACGAACACATACAATTGTAACCAAGCGGATAAATGGCTCGTCCAGTTGACGCATAAGCAATGTTTTCAGTCGAAAAACAGTTACGACCTAGTCTACCTAATCTATTCTGGCAAAATTGGTTAGATAATCGTGACGAATCTAGATAAAATTGTCTTGGTTGATCATATTGATTTCTACCTTCCATTTCATTTAAAAAATTTGGAATATAATGATTTAAAATATGATATTTATAACAACGAGGATATGTTCTACTGCTATAAGAATATCGATCATCTATTCTTTCGTATGTATGATCATCCACATTGTTTTGATTATTTTGAATCGTGGATTCATTATGAACAACCTCGCTATTATTTTCAGTATTATCATCATCATCGTTATCCAGTCTTTCATAAATATTTTCTTCTGGTTCTTGTAATTGTCGATTACGATTATAATTATGGACTAAATCCACTGGATTTTGATAATTTGGATTGAGATTTGAGTGCATCTGTATCGAACCACCAGGACGATTTTGGAAGCCTCGTGAACCACGACCTATGTTTTGATAGCTATCATCTCTTTCTTGATTATTTCTATTGTTCATGACCGCAGCTGCCACTTCACCATTTTCATACCGCTGACACACACAACGTGGACCTTGACAATTATGCCCAGCACTACGATATTGCTGAAGTACATTTTGGTCTGGATTTTGGACTTGCACACCGCTGGGCCCGGCTTCCCGTGATTGATCCGATATTTCGGCACCCGGGTCTATATTCTGCTCTAATATATGCCCAGCGGATTGTAATCCTCACATCGATGTTGTAGATGGCATTGGTTTATCGATTATTGCTACTCCGGCATAACTACGACCAATTCCCATACAAGTTGGAAGAGTTGTCCAAGTATCCGTTCTTGGAGAATATACTTCTACAGATGCCAAACTCGATGAACCATCGTCACCACCAACCACATACAAAAGACCATTTAATGCAACAACACCTAAAAATATTGATTTTTATTATATTATTTCTAAAAAAAATTTAAATTGCATTTTTGATAATTTATTTATTTTTCAAGAGAGATAATTTTATCTAGATCTAGATCTAGATTTCTTTATACTATTGTAATTTTAGTAAATTATCATTGTAATTTCAGTAAAAATAACATTATTTACCAGCATTTCTACGACAAAGAGCCATATCACTAACTGGAGTCCATTGATTAGTATCTGGATTGAAAGCTTCTACA